ATCTGTTTATTATGTTTATATAGGGCATTTGTTTTTTCTATTATATAATTTAAAAGGGAATTTTTCATGTTAAAGGCTACTATGTAATTAAACTTGATATAGTATTTTTTTATCAGACCCTGGTAAGACACAAATAAATGGGTCCTCTCCACGAGATGTTAACAGACTTTGTCTCCATCAGCTCTGTGCTAGTAGTAAAGGCCAACGTTTATTGAACACTTACTCTGTGCCAGTTGGTGTGTTCAGCACTCAGGAGAGCGTGAGTAAGATGAAAATGTGGTTCCTGTCCTTAGTTGTTGATTGTTTAGCAGATGAGAAAACATTATTTTACTTTGTCCTAACTAGCATTTATACATTATTTATATTGTATTTTACTTAAACTATTAACATTTTACACTATACAAAAGCTCTGGAAGCATTTTGCATAAGACCTTGTGAAAACTATGTAGGATGGTATTTTTTTTTTTTTTGAGACAGAATCTTACTTTGTCACCCTGGATAGAGTGCCGCGGCATCAAAGCTCATAGCAGCCTCAAACTCTTAGGCTCAAATGATCCTCTTGCCTCAGCCTCCCAGGTAGCTGGGACTGTAGGCACCTGCCATAACACCTGGCTATTTTCAGAGACAAGGTCTTGCTCAGGCTGGTCTCAAACTCCTGAGCTCAGGTGATCTACCTGCCTCCGACTCCCAGAGTGCTAGGATTACAGGCTTGAGCCACTGCACCTGGCCCAGGATGGTCTTTTGATGAAGCTAAACTGGTTGGTGTATACTTTAAACAAGAATTATAATTTAATATTACTCTTTCATAGGACATATAGGTAGGATATAAAATAGCTTTTTTAAAAAAAAAAATCCTAAACACGACTCACACATAATTTTTGGCTTCAGGTGGCTACTCTAAGAGCTGATGATAAGACAAGTGTCTCCTTCTCCTCCCTCCCTGGACAAGGTGCCATTTACAATGTCATTGTTTGGGACCCGTTTCTAAATACGTCTGCGGCTTATGTTCCTGTTCACACATACGCTTGCAGCTTTAAGGATGTGGAGGGTAACTGTGCTTCGCTTGGTGAGTACGTGCATTTCAACTCTTACCAGTTTCTCTTTGGCTTTGCAGGTCTGTATCAACTAATGCACAACTTAAAGATATTTTTAAAAATGCTTTTGCATAGTTTTCATTCGTTCATTTAACAGATGCCTTTCGCGTCCCTGCCTTGTTCCATTCTCTGTTTTAGGCACCAGTATACGTGTATGGCAGTGAATAAAACAGCCAGAATCTTACCCTTCTGGATCTTATGTTTTAGCAGAGAAGACAAGATGAGACAGATGAGATAAATTTATAAAATATATAGTGACTGAGAAAGCGATGAGCACTAAGAAGGAAAGTAAAGTAGGAAAGGGAGATAACAAGGGGCAGGAAGAGGAAAATTGGCGATAGCATGTCCAGGAGGTCCTTGTGGGGAAGGTAGCCTTTGAGTGAAGAACCACAGCGAGGCAGGGAGCCACACACATACTAGAGGGAGGTGCCTGCTAGGCCCAGGGGGAAGCCAGTGTATCTTAATATTTTATTTTATTTTACTTATTTATTTATTTTTCGTTTATTTTGAAACAGAGTCTTTGTCACCCTCTGTTGAGTGCATGGAGTCATAGCTCACAGCAATCTCAAACTCTTGGGCTCAAGAGATCCTCTTGTCTCAGCCTCCCGAGTAGCTGGGACTACAGGCACCCACCACAACAGGCTATTTTTTTTTTTACAGATGAAGCCTCGCTCTTGCTCAGTCTGGTCTTGAACCTATGAGCTCAGGCAATTCACCCACCTTGGCCTCTGAAGATACAGTACTGTCTTTGATCTATAGATGTTAATCAGATTTTGCTGTTGTTTGTTTTGTCCTTTATAAGCAAAAAAAA